TTCATTTTATTCGAATTTCAAATTTTCTAAACTGCGTTCAATCCATTTTCTAGGATATATTTTATACGATTTATGCAAGAATAGTAGCTATCATTAAAGACTATGCTATAATATAGCCATTCTCTCGATCCGGGTAATGAATGGTTCCGCTCGAAGAGCCTTCAACCGGAAGGTTATCGTTTATTGGAAGTTTCCTTGGCAATAGCGGAAGATCGGCCGCTTCTAGGTTACTTGCCAATCACGGACGACATTCGATGGAGAATTAGTGCGCTCTTGATTCGAGGAATAGTTGAAGTATCGATAGAAAGCACGACAGTACGCGACACGTTCGACAAATGGCCCCTCGACATTCTTCCTTTTTCCGTGGCGGTGCTCTTTCGTGACGCTATCTACGAGTCTATCCACCATCTTACGACTTCATTTGAACCGAGTTTGTACGAATCGACGTTGGTATTAAATGATCTAATTTTTCATTTCATTTTCGTTACCGATTTTAAGTCCTTTCCTCATATTTAATTTTTTTTTTATATAGGATGATAAAATGTTACGTGAAAAAATCGATCGAGGAAATATAAATTATTGTGTGTGAATTTATAATATTCGTATCACACATTCAAAAATAAATTTTCATTTGTATTTATGAAATACGATACGTTTCTTTATGCGATTGTCAGAGGTTCGCAATTCGAAAACATTTTTATAATTGGAATCTTCGACGAATCGCTCACGTACCTGGTAACGACGATCTCATACGCGATCGATATACACTTGAAAATCGATCCATTAAATATTTATACCGTAGTGCGTATCACGATCGAGGGACAGTGTTAGAGAAAATGCAAATTATAACATTCGAATAACATTCGGTCCGTATACGAATTACTTCTATACGCTTCGTACCATCGACACGAGGATAAAAGCAGATCGTTCAATGACGTTATCAATTTATTCCTTCTATTTAGACTTGGTTTCTCATTAAAATCCCTAAGTGTTTACGAATCGATGTACAACGTACGCAGGAGGATAGGCCGATCGATACCAGAAATCTGTCGAATCTATCTATCGAGAAAAGGAGGAGAAGAAATAATGTTCTCTCGAGAATGATCCGAAAGATCGAGAGTTTTGTGAATCCAAGGTCGAATTCGATCCTGCATCTCGCGTGTCGAGACACGCTTCGCTGTCTCTCCTCTCTCGCATCTCTAGATCTCCTCCTCCCTCTCTTTTTTCGCTTGCTCCCTTCCTCCCTCTCGCTCGCTCACTGACTCACTTACTCGGTGGAAACAAAAGGAGCAACTGGTGTGGGCAGAAAACGAGAGAGAAAAAGAGTGAGAAGGGGGAGAGCGCGAGCAGAAGCGAAAGGATGGAAGGAGCGGAGGAAAAAAAGAAGGAAAGGCCCCTTCTTCTTCTTCTTCCCCCTCTGCCTCTGTCCTCCTCCCTCCCTCGGTGGAGGGGAATCGTTCGTCAGCGGTGCGTTCAAGAAAGGGACGAAGACGTCCGAGCGAGCGTGGATAGCGGGATAGAGGGTGGAACGGAGAAGGAGAGAACGAGAGAAAAAGAAGGAGGAAAGAGAAGCGCAACAAAAGTAGCCGTGACGCCGTGCAAAGCGAGCAAACCGAACGGATAACCGTGGAGGAAAAAGATGAAAAGAGGGACCCTTCGCGGCAACGCGGAACGAAGAGGGGAGGAAGAAAGGAGAAGAAGGAGGAGGAGGAGGAAGAGGAGGAGGAGGAGAAGAAGAAGAAGAAGAGGCCGAAAGAGGGGACCTCAGGGATGTAAGGTGGAAACTTTCGTGCCTCATACGATTAGACGAATGAATTCGATTCACTCGGATGAATTCGAAATCGTTTAAGAGATTATTTAATCGTCATCGATGATATTTAAAAAAATTAACAACGAATATTTACACTAGATCGTGAAATTTGGATAAATCTTTCTCGTGGAAAAGAAGAAAAAAAGTGGGAGAAGAAATATAAGGATTAAAAATAGGATTAATTTCGTTAATAATTATCGATGCAATCTATTTTTGCACTTGCCAAAGAGAAGAACGTAAGTTCATCGGAAAAATATCAAGATTGCGCAACACGGCGAACCATTTATAGTTTCTTAGGCAGAAAAATAGATAAGCCGCGTGTCTCGTTTCATGTCTACGACCAACCGTATAACCGCAACGCCTTGAAAGTCTTCCTAGTAACACGATCGATCAGCTGGCGGACGGTGTTCAAGGTTGACCTTTCTCCCGAAGAAAACTCAGTTACTCCGACCAATTAACCCAGTCTTAAAGTCGTCTCCACGTCTCCTACGTAGCCATACGTAGGCGAATGTAAGATGGTCAAAAAAAGATTCGATTTAAAGAAGAGATTGACAAAAAAAAGAACGCGAGGAAGCGTGTAAAGCGTACACGTCGCGATCGTTGAAACTTGTTGGAAGTCGCCGAGGAGTCGATGAACCGAAACAATCGTCTCGATATTTGGTCGCTACGTCCCTGGGCCATGGCAAAAGAGATAAAGGAGGTGAAAGTGGAAAGAAGAGAGGAAGAAAAAAGGCAGAGCTGGCAAAAGGGGCAAAACCACGCGCACTCGGGCCTCTCTTCTTTCCTCCTCCTTCTTTTCCTTCTCTTTCTCCGCTTCTTCGCCCCACCGTATAGAGCGTGTAGTAAGGTACAGTACGGCAAGACATAGTACTACAACGTGCGCATTCGACTTTTCAGCGTGCACGTGTGTCGACGAGAAGCATAACGTGCACCGGTTCTTCCTGTGTGCGAGTATGTACCTGCATGTGTACCACTTTGGCATCATCCTGTTCGGTTGAACCAGGCACACACCACGCGCCTTGACTCGCCCCGATAATCGGCCGATGTCAAGGTCCTCCTCCGGTTCCCGGTAGCCGAAACTTCTTCGCCGACCGAGTCGAGAAACGTATTCCCGTATTCGTCGATCCGCGCCAATTACAAACGCGCGACCTGTCTTCCTTTCGTCGAACGTTCGTGTTAATCGAACATTCGTCGCCGCCACCCGCGGTTTAACTCGCGCTTATTTTTTCCAAACCTGCTACGACCCGTCGCTTAATTGCTCGACCGATTATCGGCAGAACGAGTGACAAATTTCCCTCGGACACGAGAGAGAGAGAGAGCTCTTAGTGTTGCAGTGGAAAAGGGAAGGGAGGAAAAAAAAAGGAAGGAAAGACGAAGGAGAAGACGAGGTTCCGCGAAGCAAAATCAATTCGTTACGTTATCCGCGTTTATTAATACGTCGGTGCACGTCGATCGAGGAAGGGATCAAAACGGGTTGATTTAAATTGCCTAATTGTAAGTTCCCCGCGTTCGTCATCCTCTTCATCTTGGGTGGAATCGATGGACAGTTGTGTGTTCCCCGCGGTAGCCGTTGCGCGTAATAGCATTCGGTAGGAAGAGAGGAGCAAAACGAAGCGAGGAAAAGGGAGAGGGAGAGAAAGAAAGAAAGAAGCAGCGGATCAAGGGGGAAGAAAAAAAGAGATCAACGTATATCGGAGAGGACGAGAGGCTTACAAGAGGTATACATCAGAACAGATTAAAATCGTCGAATCTTCCTCCATTTATGGCCTCGCCCAACGGAATTGCAACCACCTTACGACTACCTTGATCTCCATTTTCTCCTTCCTATCTTTTTTCTTAACACCAGCCAACAAGATACTCTTGCAACTGCATAAGAATCGAATGAACCGGATTCTCGAATATCTTAGTATATTACCGTCATTATCGCACCACTTATTTCGAATTATAAACTTTAACGATCTCTCTTTTCCTTTTGCGAAAGAACACGTAGCGGCAAAGATCGAGGGGAGGGGGGAACGATTTTATTATTTAATTATAACGAATTTATTTATTAATTTTACTCAAAGGATTCGCAAAAAAAAAAAAATTCCTTTTGTCGTGCATCTACAATTTATATAGATAGATATCTCGATATGTTTTTCTCGAAATTTCTTTTTCGTTCGACATTCATACATGCAACTTTGTCGAGATAATTCCACGAGTGTTGACCGTTATCGATCCTCTCCTCGTCCAATTCGAATTCGACGTAGAAATTTCGCGGGTTGTAAACTGGCTCGCGAAATCACTTCTACGCGATGTACCGAAAGAATTCTCTGCCCGTCGTAAAACCCTTCGGGGACACTTTAATAGCGCGACCGTGTACAAGAAGGAAGAGAGAAGGGATCCTTCGCGTCTCACATTTGTGATTTACACGTCGTAAAGGCTACGATGCGAGATGCGGTTTGCCCAAGCGTACATGCTACGTGCCCCTTGCGACCAGATTTAACGCGGCTGATTGTGTGCTCACGGTGCACAACCGTATCTCGTCGATGCTGTTCGACCTGTTCGCGTTTTACTCGTCGAGTGCAAGGGCGCGCGATGATGTCATTGGTGCGTGCCCTTGCGGAAAGGTCACGAGGGGGGGAGAAATTTGTTCGAGAACTGTACGGTTATTAAACCCTTTTTACCGTACAATACGGGTTAACGAATTTTCTGGAATTCGATTTTCTTCTTCCTTTTCTTTTTTTTTTTTTTTTTTTTTTTTGGAACCTTTATCATTATCGATAATTTCCTTCCTTCGATAACGCACTATGCTTTACTTTATCTTAATCTCTTATCGATGTCCAAATTCGAGTTTTTTTCTTTCTTTGTTCCTTTTGAAACATCGCAAAAGGGTAACTGGTTCAAAGGCGAATTCGCGTCTATTTTTACGAAAGGTTCGAACGGGTTTTTATCACAGACTAGTAATCTCGCCGACAGCTGACAGGCAGTTAAGATTCATTAATGCTGTTGGCAGCGATTCAACATTCGTGAAAAAAAAAAAAAGTAGGAAAAAAAAAAAAGAGAGAAGAAAAAAAAAACATTTCTCGCGCGACAAGAGAAATACGGCGAGTCAAAGGGAACAGATGTCTCGTACGAAGACAGAGGATTCCTCGATCTTTCGCTATTCGAAACTTCTCGAATAATTGTAGAAGATAAATAAAAACGACAGGTTCGTAATAATAAGAGGGAGAGGAGAGAGAGATGACATGTAAGAAAAATTAAATCTCGTAAGGAAAATGACGGATGAAACGGTGGCGCGGAATAAGAACGGAACAAATCGGGAGGAAGAATAAAAATACGGCGTAACAGAACTCGTCAGTCCAAGGAATTTGCCCTGATATTTTAATGGCGTTGCTCCCATTCACCTTCTTTTATCTCTTTTTTTTCTTTTTTCTTCCCTTCCTCCTTATTTCGTCCCCGCCCGTTTTTCTTCTCTCCTCCTCGATTCCTTTTTCTCGGCTTTATCAAAGCGCAATTTCGCAACGAAAATACGAGACGAATCTCGAATACACCTTCTTTCCTCGTTTTTAACGGGGCGATGGAAAATCGATTCGGCTCGGACGCCATCGCTGCCAATTTATTCCAACGCGCCGCGTTTACGATTGCTCGTGTTTCTCACTCGTGGCAGAACTCGTGGAAAACGGTACCTCGCTACGTGGATCGAGCGACTTTTTGCCACGGTTTCGTAGACACGATTCGATTGTATTCATGCCGCATTTATCGGAAAGAAACCGGCACACACAGGTTTAACTGTATATTTCTCTTCTATATATATATATCGAAAGAAACTATATGTCGCGAATGGTTGCATGGTGTGCGCTCGGGCAGAGATACAGAAATAACGAGACACCGATTTGCGGTTTAGCTCGGATCGGTGGATTGATTACGATTATGACAAAAGAAAGAAAGAAAGAAAGAGAGAAAGAGAAAAACGTTATAGAATTCCCTTAGCAACAACAGTGTCACCGAAGGTAAATCTAGAAGTTTGTTGCCTGGTGCACGGAAGGTGTCGAATGACAAGACGATGGCGATAACAATCTCTTGCCGCGTCACGATGCAAATTGAACGTTGTCCCTCTTGTTATCACTCGATTAAAAACTTTCTCAACCTTACTTTATTTTTTTCTTTTCCTTCTCTCTTTCTTTCTTTTCTTTTCATTCGTTCTCACTATTCAATCAAACACGCGTATATATATTTTATGCATCTTTCTACTATCGTTTTCTAAATTTATATTTATATTCGCGCGTAGAAAAAATTAATAGTCGGTGTTGTTACATGGCTACCATCTTGTCTCCGGCTATTTCTACGAAAGGAAACGGCGTGGTCTTCGAACGAGATGATCGTACAGGAAGAACCTGCGATTAAACTCCTCGCGAGAGGAATAGACGCGGGTTTTTGCAGCGATTAAGTGCAACAAGGAAGAAGAAGAGTTGTAAATTGTATGGTTTCGATAAGAGAGAGAAGAGAGAGAGAGAGAGGGAGGGGGGGAGGAAGAAAATTTCGTGGACAATTATTCAAACGAATTTTCTTCGTTATTTATTTTTACACAAGCAAGTGGAAACAGAGATTGTTTTTCCAACAACAATGCTAAAGATAACGGGAGAGAAGATTGGATCTTCATCGACGTAATCGTCCAATGCGTTTCTTTCCCGTTTACGACAAATGTCCCCGCTATTAAAATGGCCTTGCTCCGCAGAACAGAAACAGATCCACATTGGACAGAGAACGAGGGCGAACTCGAGATCGTGGCTAAAAATGGCGATGCAGGTCGAAACTTTAGTCGACGAGGACGGACTATCGGGGGAGATCAAAACTGGCAAGACGATCATCTCTTTTCACGGCCGTTCCGATAAATCTGATTAATACGAATATTGTGCGTGCATAGATTATTATTGGCTGTGAGCGGTTGTGATACGTAAGAAAAATTTATACACGAGCCTCGTTGCAGTAATCGTTCTGCATTTTTGCTCGTAATTTACGTAAAAAAAAAAAAAAAAAGAATGAATCTATCCCAATATTCTCGAAATATTTTTGAATATTTGTGCGAATTCATCGATCGATTTCTCGTTACAAAGGTCGCGATTGTAATCGATGGTAATCGAACGAGGCTGACGTACGTTTAATGCATGCCGCAACTCGGCCGCAAGTGTATACAGGTGCAGAGGAGGAGGCATACGATTCGCGTTATTAACTTTTCCCACGAAAAACATTTTCCACTTTACGGTGAAACGAACAAGATCAGAGATGAACTCGCTAGATGCATATATATATGTAATATATCCCACTCCCGTAGATGCGAGGGTCGAGGCCATTTTTGTAAAACGCGTTTCAAACAGCTTAACGATCGGTACGAAAATACAACGTAATCTCTTCTCCAAGTTATGGATGTTTCTTTAGAGCGTTATGAACGGCCATAATCCGAAGCTCCGATACATATACAGACTTGCAAGACTTCTATCTAGCAAGGTAAATCCTTAAATTACGATAAAAGTTTTAACAAACCTTCGAGTCGTTAAAAAAAAAAAAATACGCAACAAGAAAATAATTTCCTGAAATAAGTTCCAAACGCTTTTGGAATAGATACCTAATATCATCTCGTTACGAGTAACGGATACGAGTAACAGATATCAGACTTCCTTAATTATACCTGCGTATTACAACTTACTCGAGCCTTATAATTTACAATCAACGGGATAGCTGTAAACTTCCCAATTGCCCTGATAAATTCTAATAACGAATTGTAACAAAAAAAAAGAAGGAAATTCGTTATTTTATTTCGTCATTTTCCGATCTTAATTTCCAACTCCAACTCGTCGCCAACTCTCGGAGAACGTTATGCAGATAACGGATCGAAGAATTTATCTCCATTTCCACGGTGTATATACAAAGGTCAGTTCCACAATTTCTTGTTCGAATTCCGACCTCTGTTCGTACACGAATCCGATTCTTCGTCCTTTGAATTACGTTACGTTCCTTAAAGTTAGCTTCCCTACATCGCGGACGAGCAATTTCTGCTACAAAAGTCAGTGACTGGCAATTACGGTTTCTTACCCGGGGCCCCGTGTACCGCTCTCGGCTCTCCTTTCTTTCCCGTATCTCTGATGATCCCATGCGAACGAAGAAGTTTCTGCCTCCGGAAGCTCGACCGCGAATTGCGTTTTCCTCCATATTATCCGCTAACCTTTACAGAGAATATACGCATTACACGCGTTACATTATTCAACGTACGTATTCTCTCCCCTGCTCACACATTATATGCGTATTTCTAATTTTTTTTTTTTTATTCCTTATTGTGATATTGTTTTTTTTTCCTTTCCTTCTTCTTCTTCTTTTTTACGAAAAGATCGAATTTTTTTTTAATCCTTTTATCCCTTTTCTTCTCTCTTTCGATTTTCGTTTATCAACCACATCGCTTCAAATTGTGTGGTAAAATACGTGAGTGCCTTACAGTGTCTACCAGACCGATGCAGGTCATTTTTCGGGCGTTGACCCAGCACGCAGGGTTGCAGGCAACAAAAACTTTTTCACTGCTGGATGTAACCGAGAGCGACAAAGTCTACCCAACCGGATAAAGTTTAGTCCGTTGAACGATTTAAAAGAAGCGCCATGAGGTAGCATGGGACGTGACAAATTTAATGTTTGTTGAAACTTTATGGGTTTAGTTGTCGATTAAATGGAATCCCGCTCCCCCTTCGCGGAGAGGAGAAAGAAATTGTAAAAACCTTGTAAAAATTTTCCGAATAATTTTGAGAGGGGGGGAGAAAGAAAAAGAAAACGGAAAAAATTGTTAGGATACCATAATTCTAAACGGGCGTCGTTTTTAGAGCAAAACGAGCAAAGAGCATTAAACCAGGAAGCGGAAGAACAAAATAGGAAAAACGTGAGCAACGCGTTTTAGTAGGTTGAGTCGGATAGATATACGATCTCTCGGAGGTATGCTTCATTGGAAATTCTTATACCCAAGAATTTCCGTATTGTTATTCGTCCAATCCGGTTTTGAGCCTAAACCGTGTTGCTAAGGATACGGGGGAAAAAACGATTTCGAGCCGTTGACGAAAATGAAGATGGACGTGGGTTGTTGCGTGGAGCCCAACATAGTAGAATATAAGGGTACCCCACGTTCGAAATTGATTCGAATTGACAAGATTGTGTGTTAGTGGCCGGCACGAGATCAACAATGTTTTAAATTTCCTATTCCTATTCCGATCTAGGGAAGTAGAAAGCGTTTGTTGCGTAAAGGAACAGTTTTAGAGAAAGAATCTGAAACAGTAATCGTATTCTCTGAACACGAAGCGATCTCGGATCTGTCCTGTAATTTTCCGTTTCCCCGTCGATTTTACAATTGTGGACAATTGTGGTGGTGTTAAAGGTTCGAAGATCCGGGAAGTGGATCGAATCGAGCAAGAAAACTATCCGACTTCGAGCCGAAATTGCTTCCCGGAATACAAATCCATCGAGTAACGGTGGGGCAAAAAAGTGTACAATTGCTCGAGTACGATGCAATCAGCTCGCGCGGAAGATGCTTGCTTTCTGCATTAATAAAACGTTGGGGGGTAAACGTTTTCGAAGAAAAGGGAATCATCCCTTTTCTCGACGCCATTTTACACTTCCTGCCGTTTATCTTCCTCATCTTCCACCCTCTTGAGAGACAATTTTAGGTTTTAAGATTTTAACACAGACCTCCAACGTTTTCAAAGAATTCGATGTGATATTTTCTTTTCTTAAGATTCGTAAAAAAAAAAAAAAGAAGGATTAAAAGAGTATTAGAAGAATATGCCGGCTTTCATAAATTAATCGAAGAAATTGTAAATGCAAAATATCGGAGGAAGAAAATGATGAATGTACGCATAATTGACATATCGCGCAATATCGTTTAGATCCTTTCCCCCCTTCGGCTAGCACCATAATGGGTACGAGTACCGAAGGGGTCGACGTCCCTTTCGTAAACAGATCGCTTACGCTCAAGGACGTTGGTATAGTACGCATTGTACGCGCATATGATTATCCGTTGCAGTCGACTGTTCTAATATTCGTGTAAGCAGCATCGCAAATTAACATCAATTGATTTCAGAGGAGTTTAAATAAAACGACAATCAAAGTACGATGTACGATGTATAACCTATAAAAACCTTTCGTTTTATGTGTCGCTTCAACTTCTGCCTCTGACAACTCGTTACTAATTA